TGTATCATTTTATAGATTTGTTGTTATTTTTTTTAGAGTTAATTTGACTAATTTTCAAAAACTAAATTAAACTACATTAATTTGATATTTTAAAATTAAAATTTGGATATTTAAAAACTATAGGAAAAGTACTATAAATTGCAAAAAAAACTAATTCAAATCAATATTATTTTAAAAAAAATACATCTTAAAATGTTAGTCAAAATTCATATAGTTTGACTCTCAAAAAGAAAATTGTGACAACTAAAAAGGAACAAAAAAAGTAGTAGTACTTAAGCTTATCCGGAGTGATCGGCATGGCAAGAGATAGATGTGAAGTTAGAATTTCAACTTTATGATTTCAAATTTTATAACGACGATTTGAAGTGATAATACTGAATTTTAAATTTAGTACTCATACATTTTTAATGAATTTAGCTTTGCTAAAGCTTAGGCTATTGACAATGAATGGCCAACTCCTACCAAACGAACTAAAAAACATATAGGAAAATTTGACTCAATTCCTAATTTCATGCAATTTACCTTACAAAATTCACACACAATCACCAAACAAACAATCTCAAGAGTTCAGACAATTTCATGCCAATAACATGTATATCCTCGTGTATATCACTATATACTCATGTATATCCTTGTTATATTAGTAATGACAACACCTACGACATGTGTGTAACATGTTGTGTATCATATACACATAAACTTGCATAAATATGTAGCTATATACATGATCTACATGTAATCTTAAAAATGTATATACACTTGTACTTGTGGATACACACAGATATACATAACAATATACACAAATCTAAAGCCACCATCACCACTAAAATCTGAATTAAACCACACCAAAAATTTGCCCATGAGCTATGGTTTCAGATTTAGCTAAATTACATCCATTTGATTTAACAACACTATTTAAATTTCAAATTTTCAGTTCTCAACCTTCCAATTTTTTGCTCAGAAACAATAATTTATTCTTCGGATTTCAACAATCTAACACAAAAATCCACCTCAAATGAGTTTCAATTATCATACATAACATAATTTATTCATCTATTTATAAAACTACAACATATCTAACAAACTCATTTTGCAACAATGAGGATTGTCATTGTTTTCAAGCTTTTCCAACAATATCCACTTGATTTAAACTTAGTTTTCATATTTGAAAATTTATAAGCTGCTTCTTCAAAATATTATACATCCTACCTTTTCGAGATTTCACTTGTAGGATTACATTGAGCATGTAATTTACATATGACAATTAAAAACTAAAAGGTCTCTATGAAGTTTGGTTTTAGATCCTCAAACTTGTCAAGACAACCCGAGTCAACACATAAATGTAAGTTTTTATATTTTGAGATACATTACATCTGTTAAAAAATTATGTGGTGCTTTTAATGTTTAGCAAATACCCAATTTAAGTTGATACACCTAATATATACATATATTGATTTGTTAAGTTTTAGTGCAATCTAAATTTGTATACATATATTGTATACGTCTACAGATTTGGTGCATGCGTGCAATTTGCTTCAAGTTTTGTTATTCATGAATTTGTATACACATATTGTATACACCTTTCAATTTCGATTTGAAGTTGAACATGTTTAGATAATGTACACAACAATCTATTGAAAGTTGAACATGTTTAGATAATGTTCACAACAATCTATTTATAATATATAATAGCTATAGATTTAGTTATACATATCTAGTTATATATAATAGGAGAAGTGTAAATTGCCACATGTCAGTACCACAAAAAACAGACTTTTTAAATAATTGAAATTAATTACAACTAATAGGATTAAAAAATAAATTACTATTTTATTTCTAAAACAGTTTATGAGAAAAGATTGTTAATTTATTAGCAAAATTACTTTAAAATCAGTAAATTAAAAAAAAAAAAAACATAACTACCCTTACATTTTAAATTTTCAAATCAAGTAGTTATTAATTTTAAAAATTCAAAAAGAAAATATATCACGTTAGTTTATTTAGAAGAATTTTGAGGAGTAACTTTTTAATTCCCCATTTCTCTCTTGCATGATAATACAAATCTTTTTAATTTTGATTAAGAATTTTTTTTTCCTTTTAAAAACTTTATAGTTCATATTATTTTAATTTATGGTAGTTTTAAATTAAGTCTCTTTATGATATAGTCATTGATAAAGTCAAATCATTTAATGAAGGTGATCAAGATTTTTTACTATCGGAAGTTTTTTTTGATATGATGAAAAAATATTTGCATTTATTTTTGTAACTTTTACAGTTCTTATGAAAAATATTTCTCCATTTATACTCAAATTGTGTCATCGACAATCAAAGTACATTAAGAAGGTCATATATGAAGTTCTCTTAACTTTAAAATTTTTTAACTTATATTTGGAAAAAGGCATAAATTTCCTCCTAAACTTGTCCCGAAAAGTAAATTACACACTTAAACTATTATGCTGATCCATTACACACTTTTACTACTTGAAAGTAAATTTTATACCATCCTAGAACGTGTAACACCACTCTCACAATATGTGGTGTATTACACTCGCTGCCACATTAGCGATACGTCAGCGCCATGTCAGAAATTATAATTTTTTTAATATCCTTTTTTTTTTCTTTGTTAATTAACTTTTCTTTTGCTAGCTATATTTTACACTAATTAATTTTTAATTAATTAGTAAAATTCTCTATTAATTATATCCTCTTCATAGCAAAATTGCAAAGAAGAAGCTTTCTACAATGGCCGCCAAGAAAACTTTCCGAAATTCGAAGTTGATTCGTATAGTGAAAGAATTTCCTCCATTCCAAAATGAATCACAAGAAGACTGCTTCAGTTTCTTCCATTGATTGACCATGAAAATCGAGCTTTCAATTGAAAAATATTTTTCAGATCTGGACACATTATTTTTTTCTTTTTCAATGTCTTTCATGGAGGTTTCTGAAAAGATAGGAATAATAGGAAAATAACTTTCTTCCCCTTTTCAATTGATTGCTCATCTTGTTTACTAAAAATATTTCACCATAGCTTCACGACTGAGAAACCCCTAAAATTTTGCTTCGCCGAAAAAAGAGTGGACTTTTTTGGAGAAAAGAGGACAAGTGAAGAAAATAAGGCGTGGAGGAGAATGTTGATTTGGACTTTTTTTTATTCGGTGTTCAATATCCGTATTAAAGTTTAATTATTTTGAATTCATGATACGTAGAGTCAGATCATCTCAACAAGTTTGGAGGCATAAAGCAAGACCGTATGAAGTAAGAATGTTAACAATGAGATTTTTTAATGAAGTTGAAAGCATCTAATTAAGGATCTCTATTGCATATTTTTATGAAATAAGTTATATCATATTTAATTTTAAAATGAGGGTATTTAAAATATCCGCGCAACACACGGACACAAATATTAGTTATGTATATCAAGATAAATTTTTAGATATTAATATCGTGAACGTGAAGAATCGATGCCAATAAGATTATCTTCATTTATGTACACAAATAATAAGAATAGACCAAACATATACATAGCTTCTTTAGGTTGTCCCAAAATAATTAATATCATTTAATAAATATTTAAGATTCCTTTTCAATAAACAAATACCAAATAAATATAGTAACCTTAAATTCAACAATATCAACAACTTTTTATTTTTTTTTATTTTTTTTGGTAAATTCCGAAAATGAGTAATTGATTAATAAAAAGTATGAAAAAAATATAAAATTAAATATAGTAACTTTAAATTCAACAATTTCAATAATTTTTTTAATTTTAGTAGTTCAATTAGTTGACTATATGAATTCATACTTTATTGGTGAGAGTTTGATTTATTTTTAGTTCACTATCGTTAATTTCTTCAAACTCATCCCAAAAAAATGAATTTAAATTTTACATATTATTTTAATTTTCCTTAAATAATTTTGAGCCCATTTATTTTTAAATCCAAAGTTTCTCAATGAATTTAAATGAAAATTACGTTAAAAGTTAAAAGAAGCTGAAAAAGGAAGACAGTGGTGATGAGAAAGAAAAAGTAAAGAGAAAAGATTAAGCTAGCGTTTGGTCATAAATTTTCAAATATTTTTGGCAAATATTATTTGAATGAAAATTTGGATGAAATTACACCATGTGTTTGGCCATAATATTTGGGAAACACATTTCACTTTTTTAGAAAAATATAATTTATACCCATAAGTTTTAAAAACTATCAAAACTAACCATAAATTTGTATTACAAATCAATTGAATCTTCGTTGCAACAAATAACAAGTAGTGTCCATGACACTGGAGCAATGTGATAGTTTGGAGTGAGTGCAACAAGCATTATTCCATACATCGTGAAGTAAACAAAACACATGACTTCGTTACTCTGAGCCGACTGTTCATCATTTTCATCAACAACCATATCATTACTTTCATATTCACTGAATATTATATCACTATTTTGGTGTTCACGTAAAAAATTATGTAATACAACGCAAACAACTACAATAGAGGGTGCTTTTGTACAAAATAAAAGTTTGGTGTTTAATTTCAATTTTTAAAGATCTCAAATAATGAGATTTGACCCAAATACTAAAAAAAAACTAGTATTTGAGAATTTGGGATATTTACCAAATAATAACAAATTGTATAGACAAACACTATTTGCCAATTTTTTCTCCAAATACTATTTGAGAAATCTATGATCAAACGGGTCCTAAATTTGGAGGAGTAAAAGAGTAAGAAGTTGAAATAGTGGGTCCCACAATATACGAATGGCAGCCAAAGAGCCCTCATACAACTTACAATAAGTGTGCCTCGTACAAAATAAAAGTTTTTCATAATTACATATCAAATACCCACTATCTAAGAAAAAAGTGGTTTCGTTGTTGGTAACTTAACCAAATGATCAAACACTCCTCTTTAATTTAATTAATAATCAACAATAGTTGGTACTTGGTACCGACATTTTTTTTTTTTTAAAAAAAGATAACAATTACATAAAAATAAAAAAATAAATATTTTGTCCATGCCTCATTTTTTTTTTTCACAATTTCACAGTAAATTTCCGATTTTCCAATAACATAGCTCGTTGCAAATCACCTAACCCAATAACAGAACAACTAAACACCACTCTCTGCGATCTATTTCCGTCACCGGCAGCCTCGTTTTTCATGCTCCACCACTGTAATCCGCCGTCGTTTTTGAACTCACAACCTACTATCTCCTCCGCCATCTCCGACGACTTGCTCATGTACGCATAATCTCCAGCTAAACAAACACTAATCGAAGAAACTCCATATGTTTCACTCTTAACCTTCTGAATCAACGCCGCCGGCATTTCCCCCAATTCCTCACACTCAAAATTCTCCGCATTCACTTTCCAAATTTTAACTCCGGCCACATTTTCAGAATCTCCTATCATTCCAATCAGGATCAATCGGTTGTTCGCGAACCCGATAATCGAGTGAAAAATACGTGGATCTGGCCTTAACTCATACGGACCTGACCAATTCTTAGTTTTCGGATCGAAACAGTAAGTAACTCCGGTGAATTTCTCGGCGACGACGAGTTTATCTCCGGTCGTAGCGATTGACAGCCACGTAGACGCCGCAGAGTCTTTGAGTATCGCCGGCATTGATTCACACGTTTCCCAAGTGTTTGTTTCGTTATTGTAAATTTCCACAGCTAATGGATCATCTTCAAAATCGCACGTGCCACCGGCTATAACGATTGAGCCACCTACATAACCCACAATAGGATCGGTTCTCCACACGCGCGGCGCATCCACGTGATGCCACGTGAGATTCATCGCGTCGTGTGAGAACGATAGCTTCGATGGAGAAAGCATGTAGAGTAAATTCGAATGAGATGATCGGAGTGCGGAGACATACTTAATAGATGGTTGAGATATCTCGACCCAGACATTTGAGCGAGGGTCATAACCATGTACCGAAATGTCATAAGGTGAGCGAGTGCATTGAGTGTGGATAATTAGCCAAGGCTTCGGCTTGTTGAAGCATTTGAGAGAAGAAGTAACGGCTCGATTCCATGATTTTGAAACGCACGAAGAAGGAACTAAGTCGACAAGTGGCACGTGTGAAAGAATAGTTTCTAATACATCTCCATGAATAGGGGCTTCATCCTCAAGAATAATTGCCATTTTAGTTGAAAGTTTGAAATTTTGAATATGTCAAAAATGAAATTTGTTGCAACACAAATGTTTTTTTTTTTGAAGAGAATAGGGTTGAGTATGTTATTTATAATGGAGAAATGGATAAGAGTTGGTGAGAGCACTTAGGAATAATTAGGTTCGTAGAAATGATACATGTCCTACTTGACATTTTGTAGTTGTAAAATGTTGACTCACCAACAACAATGAGCCAGGTCAACTTTAAAAAGAGTGATTTCTTCGTCCTAATTTACGTGATATTATTTGAAATTATGAGAATAAAATAGTTTAATTATATATAAATTATGTAAAAGGATATTAATTAGTTATACTAATTAATAATTAAAACAATTAAAAATATAAAAAATATTATTATATTTTTATCTCAAAACTCGTATCATATAAATTAAGATCGAAGAAATAAGAGTTGGTGGTATATCACTTTTAGCGGTAAACTAGTTTGTTGTGAATCGTCGTGAGTAGCAGAATATTTCGTCAAAGACCAATGAGTCCTTCGTAAATGGAGGCGCTAGGAAATTGGGCGATTTCAACTCTACTTGATATTATTGTTCTTTTTTTTATTTTATCAAATACTCCTTTTGTTTCGTAATTTATGTAATATTATTTTGATCTTTAAGAGAAATAAATTTAATCTTGAGTTCAGATGTACCATTTTAGTGTCCTATATTGTTACTGGAACGAATTTCATAAAACCGTAAATTTTTTTCCCTCGGAGGCTAGGATGTTCTGAGCCTTGGTTCATTATAGTTCCTACGGGGTGAAATATACAATTGATACCTTGATTACAGTAAAACCTTTTTAAATTAATATAGGCGGGATCATTTGTAGAGGTATTATTTAATCGATAAATCAATATTTATTAATTTAAAGAGTGTTTCGATACTTAAAAAATTATTCAGGGATGAAATCTCAAAGAATTTGAAAGAACCCACTAGTGAAAACGTCATTTATGAACTTGAGGTCATGATTAATGATCTCAGTTACCGCAATAAAATGGACGTTAATAACCTATTGGATGAGTGAAACTAATACATGTTTAGAGGTCCAGAGTTTAGAACAAATTATGGATATCATTGGAAAAACAATGTTGATGATAAAGTTGAAGATGATACAATATCTTTGGAACCAGTTACATGTAAGGAAACGTTTGCATTTAGAACTCTTCACAATTTTATGGTGCAATTAGAAAAGACAACACCGAAACTTTTGGATGCAATAAGAAAAGTTAGAGATGAGCTCAACTAGATTTAATTTTTTTTTAAAAAACAAAACATAATAGAAATAATATTTCACTAAATTTTCTTAGATATATTTGTACTTTTAAAAAATTATTAATTTATAATATTAATGAGACCATATATTTATATAGGAGTCTTCTGAAAATATATTACCTTATCGAAATGAGTGATTTTTTCCATTGACCCAAGTTGAAATCGAAGAAAAATTATTATCTTAAAGAGATCATTAATTGATCAAATATTAATTTAGTAAGATTTTACTATATTTTTTATGCGTCATTGTATGCTTCAACCATGCGCATTGTCTTGCTTTACCTCGTGTAATTCTAAATATTTTTCACGATTCATCATTTGATACGTATCTTGGGCTATTTCTATCGTATAATATAATAATGACACCTATAGAAAAGTGTCATAAAACTGGGATAAAGGAAATAGTATTAAGTATTATTTTTTAAAAAAATTGACTTCTAGCTAGTTCTTTAGCTAAATTCAAGAAATCCATTGGTGTCATAAAAAGTAGTACTACATCATAAGGTTCTTGTTTTTTGTACTGAAGTATCTAAAATAACGAAGAAAAAATTTATGGTTAAAACGGTTAGAATATCCAAAAGCCACAGTAGCTAAGACCTATCTCAGATTTTTCACCGCGCTTCAAAAATAAACAAAGGCAAGAAAGTTCTAGTAGTTAGAGGCGGAGTCGAGATTTAACAATTTTGGGGTTCTAAATATTTTTTTTTAAAAGAGAGGGAGTTCGAACCCACAACTTTAGAGTGAAAAGCATTTCAAACCCATAACTTTAATGTGAAAAGCATTTTCCTGGTCACTTCTTTGTTGGGTTTAGCAAGGTGTGAATGAGAAATAAGAAGAGAATGAAAAAAAGTGGGGGAACCAATTTTGGAGGGAAAATGAAAAGTCATTGCAAATTACAAATGAAAAGTCATTGCAAATTACAAATGAAAAGTCATTTCTACCATATTGGTAGAAGAAAGAAAAATTGTTGTCCTTATATTAGGAAACACTTCCTTTAGTTCTTAAAGGATTAAGAAGAAGGGGGGCCCTCGCGCCGTCGTTGCTCGGCTCGGCTTCGGTAAATGATTGATTGATAATATTTTTGGACAAAATTTATTTAATCAATCTCATTAACGGTAAATTCATTTGAAAGGACTTGTTCCTTCCGTTCGAATTTGGCAAATGATGTGATTGATTGATAATATTTTTGGACAAAATTTATTTAATTAATCTCATTAACGGTAAATTCGTATGAAAGGATTTGTTCCTTCCGAAGTCGTTACTTTTCCCAAAAGACACAACGTTCTGGAAAAACAGGTCTGAACAAACGCTTTCCTTCCTGCAAATGGCTATAAATAAGAGGTCTTTTTCATTTTTCAAACACTGAAAATTTCTCTTCTCTACATACATTTTCTTACATAAACAAAATTGTCAATTGACTGGGTTTGTGTGTGCTCTTGTTGCTGTTCTTGCGTTCGCTGAAGTTATTGAAGTTTGAGGTACCACTATTTCTCTAACAGGTTTATCCGTTTTATCTTGGGACGAATTAATCTGCAACCTCGGATACAGTGAGGGGATTAAATTTCTTAAGGAAAAATAGTGGTTTCTGTGGACTCGGATTAAAAACATACTATCTATTTCATCTTTTTTCTGTTTTCGTATTTTTGACTAACTTGAATACAAGAGATAACAATCTTAAGAAATTTAACAGTTTCTGTATTTGAGGTTTCTGGAGATTAAAACCTTTATGGTTTTCTACTCTGTTTGAATTTTTAAAATTCATTCGATTAACGATTAAAAGAACATAAAAAACTTTATAGTTAAATCATAAACATGTTGTGTAAGGATTTACTCTTTACTGTTAGTATTTCACATATTAAAATTGTCTGCCTTTTGTGATAGGAAAAATGACAAATTCAAGTCAAGTAAATGTTGGAACAGTGAGTGCTGCAACAACATCGGTTGCACATAATTGTTCAACTGCTGCCCTTGCACCGGCTGAAAAACATGCAAAGTTTTCTGGAGTAGACTTCAAGAGATGGCAGTAGAAGAGGTTCTTCTATCTGACTACGTTGAGTCTGCAGAGGTTCATTAATGAGAACGTTCCTGTTATGTCGGATGAAACTCCTCCTGAAGAACGATTCTTGGTAACAGAAGCATGGACACATTCATATTTTTGGTGTAAAAATTATATTCTGAGTGGCCTGCAAGATGATCTGTACAATGTGTACAGTAATGTCAAGACCTCAAAAGAACTCTAGGATGCTTTAGAAAAGAAGTACAAAACAAATGATGTCGGAATGAAGAAGTTCATTGTGGCAAAGTTTTTGGACTATAAGATGATAGACAGTAAGACCGTCGTCACCCAAGTTCAAGAACTGCAGGTCATAATCCATGATCTCCTTGCTGAAGTTATAAATTTATTTAATGCCTATGTTGAAAATATTAAGTCTTGTCTTAATACTCACATAATCTTTAATGTAGGATTGGTTGTGAAGATGTTTTTCAAGTGGCGGCCATTATTAAGAAGTTACCTCTATTGTGGAAGGACTTCAAAAATTACTTGAAACATAAACGCAAGGAGATGACTGTTGAAGATCTCATGGTAAGGTTGAGAATCGAAGAGGATAACAAGGACGCAGAAAAAAGGTCGTGTGGTAATTCAACAATATTTGGAGTAAATATAGTTGAAGAAGATTCCACAAAATCAAAGAAAAGAAAGAAAACATATGGTCCAAAAAACAATCCTTCTAAGAAGAAATTCAACGGAAGTTGCTTCAATTGTGGTAAATGTGGTCATAAGGCTACTGAATATCGGGGTCCCAAGAAGAACAAGAAGAAGGATCAAGTAAATTTGGCTGAATCCAAATGAGAGATGGACGATCTCTATGCAATGCTTTCAGAATGCAACTTGGTTGGAAATCCAAGAGAATGGTGGATATATTCTGGTGTCTCATGCCATGTTTGTGCCAATAAAGAATTGTTTTCATTATATATTCCAGCAACTACAGACGAGAAGTTGTTTATGGCAAACTCCATTGTTGCAAAGGTGGAAGGAACTGGCAAGGTCCTCTTAAAGATGACATCGGTCAAGGTGGTGACTTTGAACAGGGTCTCGTATGTTTCGAAATTGCGCAAGAACTTAGTTTCTATACCAGTTCTGACTAAGAACGGATTCAAATGTGTATTTGTTTATGATATAGTTGTAGTGAGTAAGAATGAGATGTATGTAGAAAAATGTTACCTCACTGAGGGCCTCTTTAAGCTCAATGTAATTGCAGTTGATATGAATAAAGATTTTGCTTCTTCTTACTTGCTTGAGTCTAAATGTTTATGGCATGAATATTTGGGACACGTTAATAACAAAACCTTGCGAAAACTGATTAACTTAAATGTTTTACCTAAATTTGAGTGCAATAAATCAAAATGTCAAGTTTGCGTTGAATCTAAGTATGCTAAGCATCCTTATAAATCTGTTGAAAGGAATTCATATCCCTTAGAACTGATTCACACTGACATTTGTGACATGAAGTCAACACTAACACGTGGTGGAAAAAAGTATTTTATAACTTTTATTGACGATTGCACTAGATATTATTATGTTTATTTGCTAAATGGTAAGGATGAAGCAATAGATGCATTTAGGCAATATAAAATTGAAGTTGAAAATCAGTTGGATAGAAAAATCAAAAATGATCAGAAGTGATAGAGGTGGAGAATATGAATCTCCAT